TTCGACAAAAAAAAATTTATCGGATTGAAATTAATAGATAATTTATAACAAATAGCAATATAAAACAATTTACCATAATTAAATAATGATTTTTTTATGGTAACCTGTATTCATATCATTCAAGAATCAAGTTTGCCCAAACCGAGCCTGACCCAAATCGGTCTGTAACACATAAAGAAGAGATAAGGGGGGTCATCCACCCACACAAATTGTCTATCCCAACAGTAGCAAGAATGAGCCAGCCAGTGAGCAGAGTAATTGTTCTTCCTCTGGGTATAGCTCCACTTCGTCAAAACACCCGAGAGACTCTCATTCGCCTTTGCCAACCTTCTGATTTCGTCACACCAAGTGCCCAGTTCAGTAGGATCCTTCTCCTCTTTTCCAAGCTTGTTGATGAGCTTTTGGCAGTCAGTTTCCACAATCAGCGGGCTAAAGCCCCTTCGATTTGCTTCACGAATCCCCATCATAATCGCCTTTGCCTCCGCTTCAATTGGTCTACAGACCCCCTACTCCTTCTTCGCAGTAACGCCATAGAAGTTCCCTCTTGAGTCCCTGATCACACACCCAAAACCCACCCCCATCTGGCAGAGCACTCCGGCATCGGAATTCAGCTTGAAGACTCCCTCGGGGGGAGGGATCCATCCTCCGGGTCTGTCAGCTTGGGACGCAGTACCTTCAATGGAATTTGGGGGATGAGCTTCGAGGAAAGCTTGCAACCAGCTCATCGCTTTGGGGATAACCAGGTCTTCATCGATCTTGGGGTTATTGAAGAGATGGTTGCACCTCTCCTTCCACAGGTACCATAAGGCCACACAAAACTTCTGGATTTGCTCAGTCGAGAATTTTTTCCATAGTTCCTTTAGCCATTCAATACACGATTTACCTTCTCCAATCTCAAACATTTGTTTACCTTCCCAGTCCTGCCACTGACGCTGGATCCAACTGCACTCTCGAAGAGCATGCAACTGGGATTCAGGGAGCCCGCAGAAGGGGCACTCAGTGTTAGCATCATCAATCCATTCCGCTAACTGACAGCCAACCGGTAAGATCCCTCTCCCTGCTTTCCAAACAAACATTCTAACCTTAGGAGGAATATGAGTTTTCCAGAGAGCCTTCCAGAACTCCAATTCATCCATAGAGATAGTTAAAGAATGAGCAGAATTGTTTCCCTGGTTCTCGCGAATCCTGGAGTAGGCAGATTTGACAAAATAGTTACCATCATCAGAGTCCATCCACACCCTCTCATCCCTGCACAGTGGGGTTCTCAATGGTATTTTCGATATGAGCTCATAATCCAGCCGAGAAAACTTCTCCTTTAGTTTACTTTCGTCCCAACTTCCATTATCTTCGAGTTCCCATCTCCCACTCGCCACCTGAAACCCCCTATAATTTTCTCCTTAGCAGCCATTATGCTTCTCCAGATGAAACTAGGTTTATAACCAGTTTTAGCGTTAAAAACATCAGACTTTGGAAAGTACCTGGACTTCAAAGTTCTAGCCATCAGGGAGTTGGGTCGAGATATTTTGGGGTCATTTGGATGCAGGTTTTGGGTGTGGGATTTGGGCACAATCCTACATAGTGTGGAATTTTATTAAAATCACTCGTTTGGAAAGCAATTATATGATGAGAGATTTTAAATATTAGAGATTTCAGAAACCCACAATTGTGGGATTATGAAATAGCTGATGGTGATCAGCTATTTTAAAATCCCACACAAATTCCACAAATTAAAAACCTGGGTTTTTAAACAAGTAATTTGAGCCAAAATCCCACAAATTAATAACCTGGATCCAAATGACCCCTTTGAAACATTAAAAATTTCACTACAGACTTTTTTAATACAACAAGTTTTTAAACAAGTAATTTGAGTCAAAATCCCACAAATTAAAAACCTGGATCCAAATGACCCTTTTGAAACATTAAAAATTTTACTACGGACTTTTTTAATACAACATCTACAGTATTAGTCTATTACAATTTACAAATGGGGAAATGGAAAGGACCGGTGGAAAAGATACAAATTTCATAGAATAAACGGAAAATGGAAGGACAAAGCTGAAACACGGGGAAAAAGTTGAAACAAGTACACACAGAAACTACTCTAGCACAGTTAGCAACCAAACCAACCTGCAAATTCTCTCTTTCCTTTCCAAGAGAAAAAAGTGTATTTTAATTTCTAGGGTCTGTCATTTTCCCTTCTGCCTTCCTTCCACCTAGGGATGGCAACAAAACCCGAACCCACGGGTATCCACCCGACCCAACCCGGTCAACGCGGGTAAAATCCGTGTTGACGGGTTTTGGGCTGGGTTTGGGTTTAAACCCGTTCACTATTCACTGGGTTGGGTTGGGTTTGGGTTTAGGTGAACCCGGCCCGTGGGTACCCGCCCACTCATATAATTAATTTTTTCGGTATATTTAATATTCTAAACAACTATTCTTATTTATTTTTGTGGAGACATGTCTAATTTTTTCTTTTTAATTGTGTACAATGAAGTTGATGTTATGGAGTGGAGACTAAAGAAACTTAATTGAAAGAAAAAAGCTTTCAATTAAACATGTTATTTATGGATAATTTGTGATTTGCTTCAATTTTTTTTTACCCCGGGTTTTTTTCAAAGATAAACCCATAGATTTGGGTTTGGATTTGGCAAAACCCGACCCAACCCGACCCATTGCCATCCCTACTTCCACCTTCTTTCCCCACCATTATTCCATCCCTTAATTACAAAAAATAGACAAGAAATTGGCTAACAAAGCACAAATAAGCAGGCACGGGCAGCAGCTTCCTTCATTGAGTTTTCTTCTCTTCATTTGCTTCCGATTTTCCTTTCCCGTCTCTTGTTGCCCACCCAATTGAATGGGGTCCATGGAGATTTCTGGGTCACCTTTCTTTTCATCTCTAATGGCGTCTTTACTCTGATACGCTGTGGGAAAAAACCAAACTTTTCCGCTCCCACCCTTTTGCCTTTCCTTTGTTAAGAAAGCCGGGAGCTCTTTTCTGCTATTGAGCTATAAGAAAGATTGCGCCTTTTCTTTTTAATTTGGGCTTTCTCCTTTCTTCTCTTCTGTGAGAGTAGAGAGATGCAATCGGATAGGTCTGATTCCTCCGGCCCGATTGCTCAGCGGCTTCTCTCCGTGACCGCAACGGCTGATATCGGGGGAAAGCATAGGATACTTGCCGAGGTCAAGCGGCTCGAGCAAGAATCGAGATTCTTAGAGGTCAGTCAGCTTTCTTTCTGCTATAATTGGATTGGTTTAGCTTTTTGGTTTGTGGGGGATTCCTTGCGAATTCCCAGAACAATGTTCCGTTTTTTTTTTTTTGGCTGATTCTCAGTTGGATTGGTCCTTATTTCCCAAGTCCGATTGACTGTCTGTGTGAATTGCTCGCTCTGCTTAAGATTGAGTCAAGCTTTTGACTTTAAGCTATAGCTGAAAGTAATGCTAGCCGAGCCAGAAAGATGATCAGGGAATGTTGATTTTGGCCTGTTCTCTCCTGTACCAATGGATGAATGAAACATTGTTCTGGAGATGGGGAAAAAGAGCTTGGAACTGGGACTGAGTTGATTAGGATATCATTCAAGACAAGTGGAATAGTGTGCCCAATTGACTCCTTTCTGCAGCTGTTTAGGTTGAATGCTTGATTCTCAAACCTTAAGTTCATACTAGCATGTCTGCAGAAATCATCTGACCTGTTCATTGGGGGTAATGATTCCTTGAATTGAAAGTACAGACTGCCCTCAATAACCAGAGAAAGGTCTTGCAAGATGAACAATTCAGCTTAGATAGATCTCCTCAAGTTTTCCCGGGATGCCATAGGATGGTTGTTTGTAATGTTAACGGTTTAGCTTCAGAGCTGTGAACAATAATATGCAATAGGCAGGAACATAATTGGTTCTTTGGTGTCAAAAGCGGGGGATGGATTGGTCTCAAAACTCTGTTATTCGAAGGTTAGGAGTGTGTTTAATCCACCGGTGAATCAGTGGTCGTAATTGGAAACTGGTTCTGCTTGTTTGTTCAAGCAAAGAGGTGTGTTAGGCTGGCTGTTGAGTATGTGTCCAGGAAGTTGTATTTGAAGATGAAAACTTTGGTTCCTCGTAGGGTTTTCAGCTGCTAGTTATATGGTCGCTTCCATGTGTGAGGGATCTTTGCATAGTCAAATTATTAAGTGTTGCAGACGAGTTTCTCATACCATAGGTCCAATAATTTTGGACATTTGTCTGTTCTAAGTGTTGTTATTTCGTTGCATTTGTGGTCACTGTACTAACCAGAAGCTTGAAATTTGGCTGACTATAACTCGAACTATGCCTGATTGTTCTCCATCTGATATATCTACAGGAAGAGCTTGAACTGCTTGATAAGATAGGGAAAGCATCAGCTTCATGCAAGGAGTAAGTTTGAAACTCTGAGTGCACCTTATTGGTTTTATTTTAAAGACAATCCTTTTATCGGACTGCAATTTCTCCAGTGAGCTGACTGTAGTTTCTTGTTCTTACGTTAGATTGCTGAGCAATGTAGAGAGCAGACCTGATCCTCTGTTGCAAACGTAAACACCAATTCCTCACCCTTTTGTTGAAAAGTTTTGTTTTGGCTCATTACTTTGCTTGTTTCCAAGTAATAACAATATGTTGTGTTTAACAGAACGAATGGTCCCATAAACCCATCATGGGATCGATGGTTCGAAGGCCCACCAGAATCCAAAGGCTGCAAGTGCTGGATTCTCTGACCCCCTACTACCACATTGCTGATTCCAGACTCTTTGGACTTCGATTCTTATTTGTTGGTAGAGGACCTAAAGGAATTTTGCAGAGTTGTTCAGGGAGACTTGTTTGATGTAATGCTTCTTGTGCATAATTTTTTCATAGCAGATCATTAACAAAATGCTTTCATTGCGCCAAACAATAAATCATGAGAATGTGTTTGCCAGTCGTTAAAAGCACGAATATCAAATACAATCAGATGGTGTACACAATCAGAGCAACTCCTTCCATCATTTTCATCATCTAACTTGGTGCCTTGCCAGTAACCCTCTGAGCAATCCATCCAAGGCCATCGTACAAGCCATCACCCGTGAGGGCACAACACGCTTGGATGTGCCAATCTTGATTCTTGATGCTATGGAGCGAAAGAGCATCTGTTATCTCCGCAGGAGTCATGGCGTCTTTCAGATCTTGTTTGTTTGCAAACACGAGCACAACAGACTGCTGCAATTCGTCATGGCCCAACAGCCGGAAAAGTTCTTCCTTCATTATGGAAATCCTTGCTCTATCAGTGCTGTCTATTACTGCGATTATGGCATGAGTTCCTCTGTAATATGTTGCCCATGATGCCCTTAGCCTCTCTTGTCCTCCGAGGTCCCATACCTGCCTCCATCATAAAACACAGTACTTCTCGCATTATTAACACCATCACTAACCATCAGAAATCATGATAATGATAACATGATTAAAAAAGATAAACCAACTTCATGTCAATGATTGCCCAAACAAACATGGACTTAGAAGCAAAGATAGTGTGATGCTCTCTCTCTCTCTCTCTCTCTCTCTCTCTCTCTCTCTCTCTCTCTCTCAATGCTATCATACAACAAAGTCCATTTTTATTACATTTTTCTTGCACAAGGAATTAGTTTACAGGCAGCATGTATGCTAATAGGACCAGAACATAAGCAGGACACATAAACCACGATAAGCGGACTTAAGGCCAGCTAAAGTAGTTAACCAATGCCTCCATGTTGATGGGCCTGGCATTGAAGACTAGGAGGCATGTTTCAAGATCCTTGCATCTTGCAGTTGGATAAAGGTCCATGGTGCAAGAAGGAAAACTTCTTACACTTCTTCTAACATACTAGTTGAACTCGACTGAAAGTTAGGGAAAAACAAGGGAAAGCAACATGAAATTGGGAAAGCTCGTAATCTGCTTTAATGGGTAGCTTTAACAAAACTAATGTCAGGTACGTACAGAAGTCAGAACAGCATCCAATGTCCCCCTGCCTCCCCTAACTCCCTCCCTGTTTCCCGTAACTCCTGACGACAAGAGCCCAGTGTGGACTATGTTTCTATAGGTTCATTAGAAACCCTATCTACTATGTGCAATAGAAAGGTATAGTATATCAGATCTCATATGGGCTTTCCAGATCGAGGAGTATACTGGGAAACTACGAACAGTTAACTGAGCTAGAAAAACAATAAGACCGTCTGGAAGAAAGTTGACATCTTAAGGAAGTAGACCATGTTTCACTTCTACTTCTAGGATACTGGGTCTCCCCTAGAGAAAATTGTCACAAGCTCAACAAACTAAGGGCAAGCAGAAGACCTATAGACACAATTATACAGCATTCTGCAAATCCTATCAGCCTAAAAAGTTAAAGTCTACAATTCACTTTAACCACAACACTTCCTTGTATGTGCAATTGCAAAACTACAACTAGATGCGTTTTTCATCCAGACAATTCCATTTCCATTCAGTCTTCCCGACGCAAATGTCCAAACAATAATATTCACTCTCTAGGCACATCCTCGAACAAAAGAAAAGTTCTTCGACAAACTTAAACAAATAGTCATCCATGTAGCAATTCACAGACCACAACATTAGGCACAAAACGGAAAGAAGAAATCTTGAGCAAAGATGCTAACCTCAAAACGTATATTCTTGTAGACAACCTCTTCCACATTGCTACCAACGGTAGGGTGAGTAGTCACGACCTCACCCAAGTGCAATTTGTAAAGGGTGGTGGTCTTCCCTGCATTATCCAACCCAACCACCACAATCTTGTATTCCTTTGCAGGAAACAACATGAACCAAAATCTAGACACGAATGCTCCCATCCCCTCTTCCCTTTGTTCCTCCTCCTCCTACTTCAACAAATTGCCTAAATTAAGCAAAATTCAATCAACAACCAATTCCAGCCACTACAAATGAACCACAAGAGAACGACCGCCACAAATCGCACAAAGGATAAATATATATTATGCAGATCATCAGAACAAAAGGCATCACAACAACCCAGATGATGCAAATCATTAGGAGACGCGCAAAGTTTGGAAATTTCGTATCGAACCTTAGAGCTAGGGATTGGAGGATTGGAATCAGAGAGTACGAATCGCAGAAGAGAGGCGAGCTCGATCGGAGATGAGGGTCGAAAATTGCAGCGGACGAGCGAAAGAGAGCAACAAGCCGAATGAGTAATCGCGTTGGAGCGACAGCGAGAGAGAGATGCTATGCGATCTGACTCTTCCTTCAACTGTAATAATGGAAGCGTAAGTAGAATAAGAATATGGATTTCCTCACCCGCACTGAATTAATAAGTTTTCAATCTTTAAAATCCATCAGAGGCCGGCAGGAAGGAAAGGAATGGTCGTGCAAGGAAAGCAGAGGAGGGAGAACCCGGGCTCGCGTTGGCGGGTAACGGGCGACTCAACTGGGCCGTACAACTTCATAGCGTTATTGGACCGTTCATGCCCTGGGCTACCGGCCCATCCTCCCCGACGAATATTCTTTCGGGCCCACATAAACTGACAAAGGTGAGATAGGAATACACGTGTGGACTGTGGATAGGGCTGTAAATATGTTGAGTCGAACAGAATTTTGTAAGGGTGGGCCGGTCGGTTCGGTTATACCGATAATCAAAGGATCGGTTATAGATCAACCGAACCACCTCCCAACCTTACCGACCACCGACTGAAAGAGGGCTTAAACTTTTGGTTATCTCGATTTTTGGTTAACCGAACAGCCGCCAAGACCAAAATCATATCACCCAGCCTCCGAACATCGATCGAATTTCTATTATCTCGATTATCGGTTAGTGGATAACTGGCCGGTTTTGGTTGTAACCGATCGGTTAACCACTAACCGATTATTCAACCCTAGAATTTTGATTTTATTTGGGGTCGGCACCTTAATAAACGAGTAAATTTCAAGTTAGTTTTGTCGACTAAAATTTTGCTTTGTGTTTGACTTGATCTCGGTTCATCAATTAGTTTGCATGATTGGCTTGAGCTAAAGTATCTTATCATTTGGTTCATAATTCTTAATTGTTGATATCATGTTATTTAATAGTAATTAGTATCTGAACAATTTATAATGCATAATTTTTTATATTATAATTTTAAATACGACATATTTAACCACGTATTCAAATTCTTAAATATCATATATAATTAACGGGTAAATTGCAAGGTTGGTCACTAAGATTATTAAAAACGTTCATGTTTGATCACTAAAAATATTTAATTCCATAAGTGGTCACTAAAATTAGTTAAATATTTCAAGTTTGGTCACTCTTCGTTCAACTCCGTTAACTTTTGCTTACGTGACAGTCAAATTTTATAGGTGACTGTCAAATGTGTGACATGACAAGTAAAAAATAATAAAATAAATAAATTTAATTTTTAAAAAATTTCACCTCATTCCACTATTAAAAAGATGAAGTAAGAACAAACGGGAAATCACCCTCTCTCTCCTCCCGATTCTTCCTTGTCTCTGTCTGTTTTCTCCGCCACCGCCCTGCGAATCCTTTCTCACTTCCGACTCTCGATCTGGCTTCCTCTGTTACGCGATGGTTTCTGATAGGGCGAAAGCGTATTGCCTAAATTCTATCTTGTAGTAAAACCGGGAAGTCCAGGTATCGTCTCTCAGGGACTGGTACAACCTTATATTCTATCGATATTACATAGCAAACTATAGGTGAAAAGGTTTTAGTGATGAACCTACTATCTAATACTTAAACAAAACAAGCAACTAAAATTGTCGGGTTAAAATCAATGGGAGAGAGCTCTGGGAGAAACACCGGAATTCACTATCTATCATATTCAAATTAATTTAGATATTCTAATAAGTTTAATCCATATCTCTACAGCCAGAATATCACTAATGTGCTAACTATTCCTGTCAGGAATTACTACGTACTGAACAATTAAATCAAATCCTACTGTCGTAGCTCAATGAGTTAATTATTTGGCCTGAAGACCGATATCCCAATCAAGACCACATAGTATCTTATTTAATCCATTGTCGCTTCGATAAGTTACTATGTCACATGAAATATATTCAGTCATTAGGGTTTCACTGTCATTAATAACCTAATTAACTACAAATCAATATATTGGTGGCTAGTCAACACAAAGCATTAAGCAATTCCATGCAATAGAGATTGGAAGAAAAGAGATACGAATCAATCCATCAAGTATAGAAATAGGTACATCCTATGATGTTTCCCCAAAAATTGGGGCTTAGTTCATAACGAAATTAAAAGATACAATCATAATCATAATCATAATCATCATGTCACAAATCAAAGCAAAAGGAAAAGAATAGTGAGATTTTCTTCCCTGCGCTAGCGATCGCCGCAATAGCTGCTTCTCTCCGCTAGCTGCGCTGTTCTCTAATTAATTCCCTTTTCCAATTATTCTGCCCCCAAAAATCCTCTCGCCGCGCTGCTGCTGTTCTGCATGTCCCAGTTAATTCCTCCCCAGTCCAAGTCTCTCCGTGTATCCAAGTAATTCTCCAAGCTTCCGTCTTTTTCCTTCAGCTAAAGGACAACGGACTCGGGCCAAACAATTCCCGTCCAAGTCCAATTCCAAAAGCTCTCTCCCGCAAGAATTAATTTGCATCCCCAAGAATTACTTGTGTGCTGACCGGCCGGTTTGAAATGGCCCCAAGTACTTTCTACTAGGGCTGGCGAACGGTTTTCCGGTTAGCAGTTAACCGCACGGTTTTGACCGAACCGACCGATTTTCGGCTAACCAAAAACCGTCCTTAATTGCATTCGGTCGGTCGTCGGTAGCGAGGGGAGAAGGCTCGCCTAGCCGACCAACCGAGGTTGAAAACCGGCGGTTAGCCGACTAACCGAGCCTTTACCCAGCCTAACCTAAACGACCCGACCCCCTTCTCAAAACGACCCCCCCCCCCTCAAAACGGCCCCCTCTCTAGTCCCTCCCCAAACCCTAGACGATCACCACTCACCCAAAATCTTCCCCAACTCTCGTCTCCTCTTCTCGACGCAGTCGCAGCCTCGAGCCCCCGACCTCCCGACGATCCTTCCCGACAGCAGGCAGCAACGCAGAACAGCAGAGGAACAGCTCGCCTCGTCGCCGCCTTCCTCCATCGCTTGTTGCCGGCGCTCGCCCTGTCGCCGTCCACGACGAATCGCAGCGCCCTCGCCTGTCGCCCCGAGCCCCCGACGTCGCGACGACGACGCCCTGCAACCGGCGACTGCGACCCTCCCTCTGCCTTCTCCCTGCTCCGCACGTCTAGTCATCCTCCCCCGCCGCCGCTAGTGGTCACTGGTCAGACTGTTCGAGCAGGCGACTAGGCGAGAACCCCTCCTTTTATGCGCGGTTAGCGGCCTCCAATCGCCTCGGCAGTCGCCGTCGAGCCTCCAATTGCCGCCGAAAACCAAAACAGCGGGGGGGGGGGGGGATAATGTAAGAACAAATTATTTTTTATCCAGGTTTCGAAGACCAAAACAGCGGGGGATTACTATGTGATTAGGGGGTTTTGAATTTTGAGCAATGATTAGTGGTGGATTGCAGCGCGTGAGATGGTGAGGGTGGAATTGATGAGGGGGAGGAGAATTATGGAATGGGGAAGGGACGTGATTTTTGTGCTGATTAAAGGAGGAGTAGAGGTTGAAATTACTAATTTAGAATGATGATGAAATTAGTTAATGATGAATGATGATGAAATGTAAAATGATGATGATTGATGATTTTGATTGATGAATGATGATGATTGATGATTTTGATGATGCTTGTTAGTTGTTACTTGTTAGAATTTGTGAATTTAGTTTTCAATTTTAAATTTGTGTAACTGTTGATGTAGGGCGAGACCTCCGGCTCCACGTGGTGGACGAGGTGCACCATCCGCTGAGACTGCTTCTCGTGGTGGGAGACCTCCGGCTCCTCGAGGTCATGGTGGTGCGGGTGCCTTAGCCCCTCTTACTCAGAATCGGGGTCGTGGTGGTCCTGGTGGACGTACAGGGAGTCGGCCTGTTCAGTCGGCTGAATCGTCGGCATCAATTGCATCGACTCCTGCCCATGCCGGTAGTGGAAGTACACCTGCTGCTGAGACTCCTTCAGTAGAAACGGTTAATCCGGCTCCAAATAAAGCTAAAGAAGATCTCTTCAATCTAGAGAGATGTTTGGAGACAAATGGTACAGCTGATTGCTGGAAGGACTTTACGAAGGTGGCGGTGGATGAGTATCTGTTTGGAGAGTGCAAGCATTGTCACACTAAGATCAAAGTACATCCATCCAGGAACGGCACTTCTGCAATGAATAATCATCGGAGATCATGTTTGGCTAAGGTTGCAGCATCCAAGGATCAGACTGTTCTGAACTTGCAGGCCGCAGATGGTAGTGGAAGTCAAGTAAGTGCTTTATGGAAATTTGATCAAGCAAAAGCAAGATATGCCTTACCATGATGATTATAATGGATGAGTTGTCTTTTCGCTTTGTGGAAAGAGACGGGTTTAAGCAGTTTATGCATACGGTTCAGCCACTGTTTAAGATACCTGGGAGGAGAGGTATAAGAGATGATTGCTTTCATATATTCTTGGAGAAAAAGATGAATTTGATAGAGTTTTTTGAATCAAAGAGCAAAGGCAGAATTTCAATCACCACAGATACGTGGACTTCTGACAACAACAAAAATTACATGTGTGTGACTGCTCACTTTGTTGGAGGTGATTGGAAGTTGCAGAAGAAGGTGATCTCCTTTGTTCCCATCACAAGTCATACAGGAAATGATATTGCAGAGAAGCTTGCAGAAATTCTTGAAGAATGGAAGGTGAAGAATTTGTTCTGCATGACCATGGACATTGCATCTACAAATGATATTGTGAGTGATTGCATGAGAAGGAAATTAAAGGCGTGGGGGTGTGATTTGATGGATGGGAAGTATCTGCAGTTTCGATGTGTCGCACACATCATTAATCTGGTAGTGCAAGATGGATTGAAAGTAATCGGAGGAGCTGTGGATAGAATTCGGGACTGTGTGAAGTGGGTGAGGTCATCGCCAGCTAGGTTGACAAGGTTCAAGACTGCTATGCAATTTCTGGAGTTGGATTCTACCAAATTGGTGTGTTTGGATGTACCGACCAGGTGGAACTCCACCATATCATGTTAGAAGCAGCAGAGAGGTTTGGTGGAGTGTTTACCACTTTGTATACAAGTATACATGATCATTCCTTCAGGGATTATATTGACGCAAGAGGTGGTTTTCCAACTGAACATGATTGGAGTCTGATTAGAAAGTTGATGAAGTATCTGAAGGTCTTTAATGACTTTACCCTCCTAGTCTCGGGTAAGTGAAATTTGAAAATTTGTTTATTTTAATTTGAACATTTGACAATTTTGATTTGTTTAAGTCTAATTTCCTGTA